AGAGAATAAGCGCGTGCCTGGCAAGTGCAAGGGCCTGAGTTAATCCCTGGTTCCACCAAAAAAAAAAAAAAAGGAGAGAAAACATTGGCACAGGCTTCTTGATCTGCAGATGGCACCTCAACTGCAGGTTCACCCAGGTGTATGCCATGTACTGTGTGTTGGGGGCGGGGGGGGGGCAGTGAGGCTCGTGATTCTCCAGGGCCCAGATTGGTAAAGTGTACCCACTTAGGGGGCGGATAATCCCTGTAGGAATAGACCTGACCTTCCTATGTTGATCCATGCAGTGACTTTTACTACTCTGTTTGCATGCTGAGCAAGGGTAGTGTTTTGTTTTATTTTTGAGAGTGTTTCTCTTATTTTTCCCCCCAAAGTGCCATAGAGCACGGTGCCCTTTTCCCTGTGTGGTGGTTTTGTAGTCACTGTGACCACTTGGACCTCAGTGGCACACACAAGAACCATCTGCGGGACAGGCCCAGATGGGACAACTTTTGTTCCCAGTTGGACATAAATTTGTGTCCTTACTGAATTCAGTCTGCCACTTTTGGAACAAAGCCAGCCTCCTGCTCTAACTGACACCACAGTGGTTTTTTTGGAGCAGCATGAGCTCAACAAATCTGGCTGCCTGGCTAAGTCCTCGGCCTTCTGTCCTGCACACTCGCTGTAACAGGAGATGTTAGGCAGGGCCAGTTAGAGAGCCCTTCCTTCTTTGGAGAGGGACCCAGTAACCCTAAATGTCTGTTGACTTTAGCTGCACCAACCCCTGCAGCTCCAGCCCCTTTTCCTCCTACAAGCGCCCTCCCTCTTCCTCCCTTGAGCCCTGGAGCTTCTGCCTCCACCCCCTCTCGCAGGCCTAGCCTGTTCTTCCTTTGTCCTGACTCCGCCCAACTGGGCACACCCGCTGAGGAAGGTTCCTCTGATCCCTTCCCACCCACTCTGGCCCGGATGGACCATGGAAAAGCCCGGGTCCTTGCGGCTGGGCCCTGCTGCCCCTCCCTAAAAATGTGGGCCTCGAAGGCTGGTATCTTGAGGTCCTCTGTGCCACCCTCTGCCAGGTAGCTGTCACAGACAATCTGTGGGCAGAAGGCGCATGTTTCAGGGCCGGGTGGGGGCCATCAGCCACACAGGGCCCCACTGTGAGCACGGAGCCTCCTGGCAGGGCCAGCATCTGCCTCCGTGCCGCATAGAAAGGCGGTGTCCCTTGCTTGAACCCGCCACGGGGGCTCTCCTGC